TTATTTCATGTCATATGTATTTAATATATCAATATATATCAGTATTAGCAAAGCTTAACATCATGAACCACATGGCCCTTTAGACGCAGTAGCAGCAGCAGCAGGGCCCTCATTGTCTCCAGAAAGCACTGAGGAGATGAGACAAGGTGAGCTCACTCAGGGGCGGCGTTAGGCCCGGCTACTTGGGCTGAAGCCCCGGATGTTTTATGAAAAGCCCCGGATCTGAAACGTGGAAGTAACATGCAGTACCAAAGTCCAACAGAGAGGGAGCAGCTGGCAGTAGTTTGTATACAGCCTGCCTGAGCCTCCACCACTGAAGAAGAAGCCCTTCAGCAGCCAGCTTCTTCTGCAGTCTCTGCCTGAAACGCATGAGTGAAGATGGACATAAGGACTTTTTTTTAGACAAAAAGTACCGAGACAGAACCCCAGCTTTGATGAGACTGGTGTTGACTCAGGTTTGTGAGTCTTATTTGAAAATATTTGTTGTGTTGCTGGTTTGCCTAAAGTTAGCTTCTCAGGTAAAGTTGCTGGAAAGTGAATATTTACTTTCATCTCACACTAAACACTAACAGGAACAATATTCTGCCCTGAATATGCTTAATATGTAGCTTTAGATTAAAAAATTATGTGGTACAAGACAAATATATATGATGTTGACTAGTGCGTGTCACGTGTGTGTGCGCGCGTGTTTGTGTGTTAAGCCCCGGATCTTCTTCAGTCCTAAATCCACCCCTGAACTCACGATACAATTAAGTTATTCAATTTACAAGCAATCATTAGCAACAGATTTATCTGAAAGGACATGTTAGGTTATATTTTGCTGACCTAATTCATGATCCATTTTGCTTGTGTGGTGTCTGTCCCCCTTGCAGCAGAGAAAGAGATAGAATATGTGAAAGAGGATGATGTAAGTGAAGATAGGGAAGGGGATGGTTGCTCTGAAGGTAGTGAGGATGATGAGGAGAGGCCAGAAGAAGAAGAAAGTGAGAGGCTGAGCAACACAGATGAGTGTCTGCCAGAGGATCCAGGACTATGGCCAGAGAAGTTCACTGGTCAACAGAGAGATACAGTTGTCAGAAGACTGGCGAATAAAAGTGATCAAACACCAGGAATCGACAAAATAACACCCAAAGATATGGAGGGCAAGCCATTTCCAAATTATCTTCAATATGCTAAGTCAGCCAATGGGCATGAGAAGATAAGAAGAGACTGGCTTATTTACAGTGAAAGTGCAAAGGCTCTGTACTGCATCCCATGTCTCCTCTTGAGCTGCTTAATTCCATCTACAGGATGCAATTACAGAGCATTTTTGGAGAAGTTTGTATTGGACTGAGGATTTTTTGCACACTGCCTTTAACTGTTGCTGGGGGTGAACGGGCTTTTAGCAAACTGAAACTGGTGAAAAATTATTTGAGATCAACAATGTCCCAGGATAGACTGAACAGCCTAGCTCTTCTTTCTATTGAAAGCCAATTAGCCAAAGGATTGGACTTTAAAGATCTCATAAGGGATTTTGCTAACATGAAGACCCGTCAGTGGGCATTTACTGGAAAATAAATTCCAGGATTAATGTTTGAACACATTGTTGGCAAATAAAAATAATTATATGTGAAGTCTGGGCATTTCACTTTTATTATGCTGGCATTTGTATTTGCTCAATATAGAGGTTAAACTGAGATCGTATTTATTATCTTGTCTTATAGCATGGCATAAAATGTGTAAGAGAGATATTACACAATTGAGCATGGGGCCCACCTAGAAGACTTGTACCTAGGGCCCAGAATTTGGTGCTACGCCCCTGAAGGAAACTAATGATTTGTTAAATTCATATCTGTTACAGCAGACCACAAGACAGAATAGGAATTATCCTACTGATTTTCTGTCATTGGAGAAACGCCACAGGGCATTATCACATGTTTTAGATTAAGTACAAAGAGTGGGGGGAAATCAAGAAAAGATGGCTCTTTATTATAGTGACTTTTGTAAATTGTTGCAGGTTAAAATGTTAAAATATTGCCCTGTTAAAATGCGGGGAAGCCTAAGGAATGACCATAATGAACTAAAAGACCTATTTTATTATCAATCAAAATCATCACTGTCAACTTGCTAACGTAACTTTTACAAACGTGGTGTCCTAACTTCCGTAAATCTTAGGTTTAGCCGAACATCTACTGTGACGTACTTTGCAAACACAGGACCCCAAGCCGATCTGGCGGCCCGAGCAGATCTGGTGACAACATCGACAAAACTGCATCAGATGCAACTCCGCCAGCTTCCAGCAGAAATACTGGAGAATATCTCACTGACTGTCCGAGCCGGATTCAGAGGAGCCTACAAACGTTGACTATCCGCAGAGTCTAAACCAACTCGCCAGCCTGGCAGGTTCGCCTCCGCATGCTCAACGGATCTCCCGACAATTCTCATCACACGATTTTGTGGGCTTTCAGCAAACTGGCATTGGATGGTTTATTATTCATTTGAAAACTTGTTAAATCTCATAAAATTCTGCTTATTTTATAAACCCAGACATCACATTTTTCTACCACACTTAATTCTGCTCTTAATAATATCTTAGATCATGTTTCATCAGCGTTTCTTCATCGTCTCAGTTGGTATTATCTTAAATCATCATTTATAATCCTTTGGCCTGCATCATCATTAGTAATAGAAATATAGTAATAAATAGATTTTTAAAAACAATATTTATGATGAAACTATACATATACCTACACACATATATATATATATATATATATATATATATATATACATACATATAGTTTCATCATAAATCTAATATAAAAGGTTCAATAATATTGATAATCCATATTTTATGAAATATTACATTTTATTGAATACCTTTATATTTTATTGACAATTAATTAAAAGTAACCACTTACAAAACATTACATAGAAAATGGCGTCTTGCTATTAACAGCATAAAACCAAGATTATTAATTTAATGAGAAATATGGTTCTGCAAGAGTACTTGTATATTTCATTTTGGTTTTGAGTCCTCCAAGTTTATCCCATCTTATAAATATTTAGGTTTTCTTATGGATGAGAGGATTAGGTTTCATGAAGAACAGAAACTATTAGTAGAATCTACCGGAAGAGCATTAGGTGCCTTGTTAACTAAAAAGAAATCTTGTACAGATCTTGGTTTTTCCATATTCACACAACTCGATGAAGCTTTAGTTGACCTAGTCTTACTTTATGCGGCAGGAGTTTGGGGCGTCGAGGAAGTCTTTGAATGTAGCTCTGTTCAGCATCGAGCTCTAAGATGTTTTCTTGGTGGGTTAGGGTTAGCTAGCTACAAAGCTAGCGGAGGTGTGGGATGCAGGATGTGTTCCATTTGTTAAACAAAAAAGTGAAATAGTGCAATTGTGGAACTGTCTTCTTTGTCTGCCTGAAGGAAGATTAAGAAAGAAACATTTTAACTGGGATAGAACTCGTTTTCATCCGTTGTTTAGGGGTATTTCAAATTTTTAACAGATTCAGATATGCTCCAGAATAATTTCAAATGTAACATCAACCATGTTAAACAGGAGTTGGGAATAAAACATAGGGAACAATGGAAGCAGGATCTTTAGAATAAGCCAAAACTTAGAAATTATGTTCAGTTTCAAAAAGGACTATGTCACAGAATCATATATCCGGTGTCATTTAACAAGAAGATAAATACCTCTGTGTACCCTACTGAGAACTGGTACCCTGCCTTTTTCTGTATTCTGTGTCCTGTTTGATTAAATTTAGGATGTGGAGTGTATCAACACCGGTGTATGTTTTGTAATGGTGTGTTTTATTTTGCTTTGTGTCACATGGCTATGGTTTGTTATTGGTCATAGGGTCTAATAAGCCCGTGAGGGCTGGGCACCAGATACGGTGTGTGACACTTAAATCAATCAATCAATCAATCAATCAATATGGTTTTGAAATAAATGGGAAGAATGTGACCTATTCTCGACCAGTCTGTATTCAACTGTTCCCAACATCTCTGCATGGTCATGATGAAACAGGTTTTAGATTACGTGCACCAGGACGCATACTTCCAAGTCCTATTGGGATAGGGATTTGGGATAACTAGTTCAGTTGTTCCTCTAATCCGTGTGCCTTTTCCAAATGCTCCAGCCGTTATGCACAGGAGACAGGAGAGCTCTGTTTATCTGAACGATTTGCTCTTTCTGGCCGGTTCCAGAAAGGTAGCAGCCCCCAAGCTCAAATATTAGTTGAGCTGTCACACCAACAGTTTTATGTCATTTTAGGACGATCTCTATGCTTCCTTTCCTCTCCAAGGAATAAAAAAAAAATGTTTATTGTTATTTGATGTTTAGAGGTCCAGATGAGCTGAAACTAATATTAACAATTGAATAAATGTTACTGTAAATCAGTAGTGGTGAGGAACTATTCCACCTTTGTTCCATTTCTTTATGCTGATGTCTAGCTGCAGCTGGGAGCAGAAAATAGGGATTTCTTGAATTAAAATGTATTTGCTGAGAATTATAAATCAGGAAAAACAAAGCTCGGGTCAAACAGCATGTGGTTTGATTGGTTAGGGTTAGATGACCCGCATGAAGGTGAGTTAACAGAACAGGATGAGCTTTTCAACACAAACTGCTCTGGAGCCGCTGTTGAGCTCAGTTTGTGTTACCATGGTGACCTGACTGGAATCAAAAGAAAGAAAACAACCTTTTATAAAACGCCTCTCAAGATAAAAATCACGAGGCGCTTCACAAGAACAAAACATTTACAATATAAAATATTTTGAAACATGATTTAAAAAAATAATAAACATTTGCGATTAACATATGTGAGGAAAGGGAGAGAAAAAGTGAAAAGGAAGGAGGATAATCAGTGGATCCCTGGAAAGGTGGAGTTGGTAGGAAGAACAGAACAAGGAGAGAGGGTGAAGGTCACACTAAAGCCTGTCTGACAGAATCAGACAGAACCTCCTATGTGACACAAGATCAGTAGAACAACCAGGTTTTGTTAGGCTTTACTTGGCATTGTTCAGCTTGTCTTCATCTGAAGGACTGTCTCTCTTCACCAGGTCAAAGTTCACACTCTGTGGCTGAATGGCATCGATCAGGTCCAGAACTGGAAGGCTGGTGCTGATCGATTTGTCCTGAAAGGAACACACACACACAAATTAACCTACAGTTCTAAGATCACTACCTGGTGATGGCCAGTCTAATGGAGGTAGACCTCTCTGATAGTGAATGAGTGAATCCCTGATAGTGAATGAATGTGTCTCTAATAAATGGCCTGTATTTTTAAAACTCTTGTTGGGGTTCTATAACCCCCCCAAGGTGCTTCACAACACATTCAGTCATTCACAAGTTCACACACTGATGATGAGCTACGATGTAGCCACAGCTGCCCTGGGACGCGCTGACAGAGGCCAGGCTGCAGAGCACAGACGCCACTAGTTCCTCCGATCACCACCAGCAGCCAAGGCGGGTAAAGTGTCTTGCCCAAGGACACAACAGCAGCATTCTCTGGTGGAAGCTGGGATCGGCCTGGCAACCTTCCGATATCTGAAAAACCCGCCCTACCTCCTCAGCTATTGCTTCCCCACGAGTGTGGTAAGAAAGAAAGAAAACAGTCTTTTATAAAGCGCCTCTCCAGATAAAAATCATGAAGTGCTTCACAAAAACAAAAACCTTTTAATACTGAGAAGATTTTAAAAATTTTCAATGACAAAAAAGAAAAGTTGTGATAAAAACATGTAAGGACAGAAAGAGAGAAAATGAACAGGAAGGAGGAAAATCAGTGAATCTGGGAAAAGAAGAACAAGAGCAGAACAAGGAGAGGGTGGTGATGAAGGTCCCACCAAAGCCTGAACATGTGAGTTTAAAGGAGACCACTGAGTCCACTGATCTCAGGTTCAGGGGGAGAGAGGTCCAGAGTCTGGAGGCCACAGCAGCAGATGATCTGTCACCTTTGACCTTTAGCCTGGTAGCCTCCACAACCAGTAGGCTTTGGTCACGGGACCTCAGGGACCTGCTGGGGGTGTAGGGACAGAGAAGATCACCAATGCATGATGGTGCTTGTCCATGTAAGGCCCTAAAGACCAGAACCAGGATCTTGAAATGAACCCTGAAGTTGACTGGCAGCCAGTGAAGCTGGAGGAGAAGCGGGGTGATGTGGGTAGTGCATGAGTGAGACCCTGATAGTTAAAGTATCTTTTCGGAGTTTTCTACTTTCAGAAATGATGTATGATCTGTCAGAAAAGTGATTATCTTGTACTGTGATATAATGTAAGCAATACTTCTGTTGTTTTATTGCTAAGCACGCCCCCTGTCCAGAGTGTGTCTCTGATTATGAATGAGTGAGGGCCTGATGATGAATGAGTGAGTCTCTCACTTTAAAGCTTTTGAAAGAAGAACTCTTTCCAGCCTCAGCCAAAGTCTTGTTGACCCATGAAATGATCAGGTCGTCTCCAGCTACTTCTCCGTGTCCGAGGTCTTCCAGAACATTTAGCGTGTACCTGCGTTATGTGTGACATCATTAAAATTAGACCAACATGGCAATTAGTCATTTAATTCATTTAGTTAAAAAGAAGAAAAATTAGATGAAGTCTGACTATGAAGCAGGACATCACCTCCTCATCAGCTGCCACACTAGGGCCAGTGTGAGAGTCGGGTTTCCATCGTACAGATCCTGACCGCCGATTCCTACCAGAGAAAAGCCAGCTTTCTTCTTTCCCAGCTCCACCGCATAGTTACAGTTTTCAATCTGCCACACACACACACACACACACACACACACACACACACACACACACACACACACACACACAC